CTGTTGGCCTACACACATAACATTAGGACGGTTTTTAACTTGTGTTAATGGCCAGTTCTCAATAATAAACACATTTGCTGTGGTAAATTTGGTGGCGGTTGTGAAACTAAGGAAATAGTGTCGGCGGGCCTATACTTGTCAGATTTTAGGATATTGAAAGATTACACCGCTCTGAAAGATCATGTTTACAATTTAGCAAGCGTGTTAAACGAAGATAGAGCCAAGATCTTAGAAATGTAGAGAAAGAGAGTGGAATGATAACCTCTTTTAGTGCCCACTAAATGGAATCGCCACTCTTGTAGTCTAGACACTGCCATAAAGACAGAGGCACTAAATGGCTATTTTTTTCTCTTAATTGCACCGTCTGTTCGGGGGGGAATGGCGTTCACTTCCGCAGTAAATAGTAAACAAGCAAGACTGGATGTCCAAAGCTGGGGGGGGGGGAGACTTGCCAAGAGCTTTCGACATGAACTCGGTCTGTGCAGTCTGCAACGTCAAACCAAACCCCCAACCCCCTCTGCACACCCGTCATGTCCGCCACTCTTCTGATCTCAAAATTTGGAAGGCGCAGCAAATCCAGTCTTTTTCTGAGTAAAGATGTATATGTATATATAATATATAATTATTATTATTATTTTTAAGGTTTGGCATGTGAAAGACCTTGTGAAAATCCCAATGTGTTGCAGCTCAGAGATTGTCAAGCATTTGAAATAATAGTCTATTTGTCTGAGCTGACCCCAAACGTCGCCTGTTTCAACACATCAGCTATGAATAAATAATTGTTGACTAATTGGGCCATGTGTTTGGAGTTATAACAAGAGATAGCTAGGGGAAAGGAAATCATAATTGGCATGTTCTTTTTTTCTCAATTAGCCTGTGTGTGTTTGTGTGTGCGCGCCTTATGTGAGCGCATGTGTATTTCGTATGTGTGTCCCCAGCATATGTGCATGGCGATTGCACGTGTGCATTAACTACAATTTATAATTAAATGTAGTCTTTGAACTTCAATAATGTCAAGGCCTTCACCTTTAACCCGCTGCAATAAAGTGGAATCAAGGAGCCCCTTTAGCCCGGAAATGTGTGCAGCGGCGGAATGGGCCAATGAGAGTGAGTGGGAACAGAAAATGGAATGTGTACAGAGACCAACTTTGACCCCTCGCATTAAGCTACAGCAGGTAACTTTGCCAGCTTTAGCACGCCCAGTAAATACACTTTATTGTCCCTGTAAAATGTATACGTTTTCACGCATGAGACGTTTTAAACCACGTTGGTATAAACTGTAGGCCTGTATTTGTATTCTCTAAAGAAAAAAACAGGTTGGTGTGTGGCTGTCGCAGTGTGCTTGTCGTAATGGGTGGTTCTGTAAGTGCAAATATGACGGTTTGTGCGAGCGTGCGTGGGTCAGTGCATCCTTTGATTCCTGAGTTTAGAAGTCACTCGTGCTCCGGCTGCTGTGCAAGGTTCAAAGAACTAAAAACTCAGAATGAAGTGAACACATATTCATGCAAATGTCTGCACTGTAAGATCAAAAGGTTAAGGACTTGGCTAGGGTTTTAATTTTTTTATATAATGAAGGGAAATAAAAGGACGATGGAAAAACTCGCTCTGATTGTATCCACGTGATACACTGTGTAGTGCACATATCAGCGAAAACGTGGCAGGTATTTTCTCCGTGTCAATCTGCATATGTCAGTGTAATATCAGGGAGGACAGGGGTTCGTTCTGACAAAAGAAAGGATATGCAAACTGGCGGAGATCAAGGCTATAGGAGCCCCTCTCTTGCCACTCCCACCAACCTTGGCCCTGGGACGGTGACGCGGGTAGGCTAATTTGTAGGTTTCTCCAACACACAACGTCACTAACAGAGAGCGCTGCAGAGGCTTCTTCAAATGTTGTCTATCAACCACACGGGGGCCAGGAGTCTCCCGGCCTCTGCACTGTTTTGTTTCCTCAACGGGATCTTGAAAACGTTTTCCTGAGATGGATGCCTCGGTGACATCAGAGTAGTGGCCGTGGAGACAACCTCTTGGTGATGTGGTGTGTGTCAGAGGGACGGTCCACTGGAATGCAGCTCTTGCCACATGCTTCAGGCTGGCTTGTGCACTTGGGTGTTGTGGTTAAGGAAAATGGCGGTGTGTTTTTATGTAGATGAAACAAACGGGTGTGTGTGTGTGTGTGTGTGTGGGGGGGGGGGGGGGGGGGGGGGGGGGGGGCTTTTCTTTTATTTAAGAAATATATCAAGGCTGTAAACAAATTTTTTTTTTATTACAAAGAAGAGTTTGAATTTATATATAACATTGTGAGATTATTCTCGAAGGCCCATAAATCTAACTAAAATAATATGACGGCATGAGGAATGACATCTTACTCACTGAATACCAAAAAAAACAAAACACCATTTTTTTTTCTCGTGGCAATACAATTAACAGCTTAGGGGAAATCTATAAATAAAGCTAGAACAATACAAAAAAGTAGTAAAATGTTTTTTTTCCTAATATGAAATTAGTAACGTTTCCAGATATTTAGTTATGGATTTAAGGCAATTATTCATCAGTTATAATTTGTTAATTGTTATTGTGTTTTATTTGGAAAGTAAATGCAGTGGAATTCCTGTTTTTTTCTCTGCAGATACTAATCAAGGGGTTATAGGCTATTGAATGGTTTTATACTACAGTGTGCTACTCGCATCCCAGCACCTATCCTGTTCTATAGGGCCATAAAACAGTTCGACGCTGTAAAACGAGCTCTTGCTATTGCTGCAACCAAATAACTCTCAAAACGCTTGAATTTACATTCGCGCATGTGTACCCTATTTATTTATTGTTGCCACCAAGCTTAGTCTGACTGTAATTTACAGCAAGTTTTAAGTTGAAGAAATGGCAGCTTGTAGTGTGTATTTGGTGTGGTAGTCAGTGGTAATAATGTAATACTGCTGTACTTTGATGGCAGTTACTACTCTTGTTTTTAATTAAGAACTTACATGATTCTGACACCATAAATTTCCAGTTGTGCACTGAGTGGACAGCAGCATGAAAGAGGACACAAAGCAGAACCTCCTCACATCCAACTGGAAAGATATTTCAAAGTGGCTGCCAGGAGCAAATTAGTTGTGTCGCCCCAGTGGCTCATGATTAGTAGTACAATAAGGAAACCCGCTACCATGCCGCCTGTCCCGCAGCATTCAACACCCATACCTGTTTGTAATATGGTTACAGCCTCCAGGTTTGCAATCAATTGGTCGATAATTTAGTGGTGAAAGTGCTGACTCTACTTTAGACAAGTGTAAAGACGGTGTTACAGTTGGAGTCAACTCTGTGTGTGTGTGCGTGCGCGCGCGCTCAGGGTAGGTTACACGTTAGCGAGCAGTGTTAGTGTGTGAGGAAATTCCTGAGGGTTTAATGTATGCAAAAATACAGCATGCACACATAGGCCTAGACAAAAAAAAACATTAAATGTTAGCATGCAACACTATCCTCGTTGCAAATGGAGTGTCTTTTTCTTGAAATTGCGTTCGTGTTTCCACCAGAGAAATAGATTTGGGTAAACAGCGCTTTTTTTTTACGGAAGCAGAAAGGTATGCCTGCTCAGCGAAAGCTTTCTTCCATTTTTTTTAAAAATAGCCGTTTTGTTCTTACAAATGTAGGATTAATAAGCTGATGATGGGTAGATCTGCTGTCTTACTGGCAAAATGATTAAATCACAAACTCCTGTTATTACGTCTGTGGCAGGTCTGTCAGGTGTGTGACATTCCACAAGTCTACGGTTTCCTTTATCATTTCAGGTCTATATGACGACATAATGCATATTTTCCTGCACTGCCAGGTCTATGATATACTAAGACGGAGCCATCACAATGTTCTCTGCAGCTCTTGTGAAATTTAACCATTATCTAGAGCTCAGTGGTCCCTGCAAAGTTGTACACATATCATTTGTTTTTATGTACATGACTTTTTTTGTATTGGGGAGAGTTTGAGGTATAGCCTGCAGGCTAGGTGTGAATGTGTCATAAAGCAGTTTGTGTGTGTGTGTGTGTCAGTGGGGTAAGTTTTGTGAGGTGGGCCATACATTAGGTGTGGTTATTAACGTGTCCATACATGAGGCTGTGTGTATGTGGATTAAAGAAAGATGGAGTGTGAAAACAAGATCCTTAAAAAGCTTTTATTCCAGCATTTTCCTGTTTTTGGTTGAAGTAACTGCATAAAATGATTTACCATATTGGTGCATGCCAGTTTATTGTTTATATTATGAGTTTCTAAGGGTTTCATGAGCCCAAGATGTTGTCCACGCCCATAAGACCACGTTATCCGTGGATCCGCAATTAATGTAAAAGTCACAAAAACTGAAGAGGCAAGTTTTTCACCCCACATCAGCAATCTGTAGATATGACAGTCCGCATTTATTTTATAAATGTGAAGAATAGGGCATGGAGAATGACAAATACACTGGCGTTTATTAAATATTTATTTCACTTACAATTAGTGCATCACAGTCAAGCAAAGGCTCTGTCTCATCTTGAAGCATCACTGTTTATGCAAATGAGGACAAATATTCCAAGACATACATTGATAATATATCTTGCCCTTGTCTTTGAAAATAAGTCTGAACTGAACAGACAGATAGACAGGCGCGCGTGCACGTTTCTCTCAAACCAACTAGGATACAAGCACACCCGCATAGCAGTGGTTAATGATTTCAACATTTTAAACTCGCTAAATGCATGCCAGCAGTATCTGCTGTTGGAGTTTTTAAATGTTTGCTAGAGATCTGTTGGTACACACACACACACACACACACGCACACACACACATAAATATATATATAATTTAATATAAACATTTTGTTTAAAACGAGCGAGTGAAGCAGCAGTGTGTTTGTATTTGTATTCTTTCGAGTAACTGCGGGTTTGTTTGGACTGGATAAAAGTGTACTTTCTGCAGCACAGAAAACCCCAGGCCTGGAGTAACACAACACATGACACATCATTGGAAGAAACGAGGATCTGTAACTGAACACAAGATAACTTTATTGTCTCCCAGTAACAGAAAGTGTCATTTAACAAGGCTAAAAAAATAAATAAAAAAAGAATGCAGATTTATTACAAATTTAAGACACACGCGCGCAGAATAGGACTGAAACTGTTGAAAGTACAACTGACAAGAACAGTTCAGACTATAATGCTTATTTGAATCTGTTCAGGGTGATGATATACGGAGATACGGAGTGACAAAAAAGTATTATGTGTGTTAAAAACTAATTCATTAAAGTAACAAAAAATCACAGATTAACTATTTACTGTGGGCTTTATCCAACAACATTTTCTCTCTATCCAGTCGTTATGAGGCTATCACAATAACATTAGTGGCCTATATTCATGTTTTTTATTTATTTAGATGTTTTAAAATACGTGTATTCGAAATCAGTTTCAGTGACTAAGAGGAGTGTAACCTGCTTATTTTTCATATTCACTGTATTCGTGTTTCGCAGTGGTATTCTACATAGCCCTGAATGTTTTCACCTGACTGTGACAAAATTAAACTCTTATGGTAATGTTGATAGCATCTGATTAGAGCTGATGAGAGAAGGAGAATTGTTTTTAAAAAGTATCTGTGCATAAATACTTGAAAAAGCGAAGCTAAACGAGAGCCACAATTCACAAACCAGCTCTTCTGGCCCGCAACTAGTCTGCGAATAAAAACAAAAACGCCAGTAAGATTGTTAATTTCAGATCTGTTACATATTGAAAACACATGCTTTTCATTATGTAACAGATCAAGGAACATCCTGAAAATAATACTGATGACTTTCCTTTTACACCACAATAATTAATATCGTTATAGGTCCACCGTCCACTAGCGTACAAATTCCACTGTTTACTTAATAATTTGTAGCCCATTTCAAGAAAATAACCAGGTAAAGAGCCAAGTGCGGCTTCAGTTATCCCAATCTAGTGAAAGTTTACTAATTGGTCAAATAACATCTAATGTGTTTGCTTTTTTAAAAACAAAGTCTAGTGTAATTCTGTTGTCGTAAAGTCTTAGGAAGAAAAATATTTGGCCCTCAATCAATAAAAGAAATAAAAGACAAGGCCGTGGTGTTTAATGCATTGAATGTACTGTCTATCTACAAAAGGATGCCAGTAAAATACATTTCATATAGGCTATCATATCACAATCTTAAATTTAGCAGGTAAAATGCAAAAACCAACATGTCATTTTTAGGCTACTTCACAACGTCAAGGGTTAAAACCTAGTTGTTGTTTTTTGGTTTAAAATTCACAAAGAATTCCACATTTCTGTTCTAGTTTTCTTTTTAATAACACACCGGACAGCTTACCTTGCTAAATCGGTGGCAACAACAAAGCAAATAGATGAAAACAACAAAAAGAACTGACACAAAATGCACTCTTTCTTGTGACAAATCCGCGATGGCTTCATCTCCATTGCCCTGGCACCAGGGTGAAAAGGAAATCACATGTTGACTACATGGATTTCCTTTCAAACATCAGAAGTTCCAGATTAAACAGAATTAAAATACTCAAAAGCCACGTAGTAAGAGCCTTACAAATAAATTCATTGCTGCAGCAGCCGTCCTTTGTTCCCACTGGTGTGGCCCTGCTGTCCTGACCAGCAAACGGTCGCTAGGTGGCGCTCTTGCTCCATCAAAAACCCTCCAGGTTTCCCAACTTGACCGCGCTGACGTCACGTCAGTCTGAAGCATCAAGGCCACTTCCACGCAGCTATTGGTCTAAAAATCACATGACATGTCTCCTAACATCCATAATTATGTTACTGATATTTTGCACCCCCCTCCAAAAGATGTCAGCATCCTACTGTCCTTATTCTCCTGGTAAATCCCGTACTTCAGAGCAGTGGAACACACCAAACGATTACCGTGTTGCCAAATGCAAAAATGACATGTCCGAATAACATAGCGCCCGGGAACTTCCTGATGGATTCCTTAATGGGAGGATCATCTTCCTTCAGGGGTGAGGGTTATTCCAGCAACCCCGGAATGTACATCCACACAGCTGCAGAGTACGGATATTCAGTGATGAGAAACATTGGGAAGGTTGGACCATCTTCACTCTCCAAAAGAGACGATGTTCCTCCGGGCGGTCTGCAGCTCAGCGGCTTCCAGGATGCGCCCTACCTGTCAACACAGCTGGCCACATGGACCCCAGGCTCCAAAACCAGCAGGGACGAGCAACCTGTTGCCCAGTGTTTACAACCCTGCTCGTTTCCAGCGGGCAACGTCAAAGAGGAGGCGTTTTGTTGCCTCTATCAGGATGACAGCAATAAGGGGAAGCAGACAACAGAGTCTGCTACTTACATCCGGCTTGGAGACAATAGCTGCCGGCCTGAGCAAACAGCCGCCTCGTCCAGCGCCTGTTTCCAGGTGTACAACGGAGAGAGGCCGCAGCAGGACGGCCAGCAGTTCCCCTCCGGCTTCTCTATGACCCACTTGGCGACATCTGTTGAATCAGCACCAGAATCGACAATAAGATGCAGCAAAGCGGCGCAGGAGACAGCGAGAGAGGTTTTAAAGACAGATGAGAGTCAGAGCAGGAAGGAAGAGAAGGCCAAGAGTGACAGCTGTTCAGATAACTCGGACGGGGAATTAAAAGGTAGAACATTATACTATACCCTCCTCCTCCTCCTCCTCCTCCTCCGTGATACACGTGTACACACACGCACACCTCCATGCATACAAACACACACATACATACCACAGACCATGTGGAGACAGTTTCCATATAATATTCGCAAGAGTTATTAAATGCTGTGTGCATCGTGGCCTTATAGTGCAGGCTTGTGTTTGATGGCAGTCATATGGGCTGTATGGGCATTTGACAGCCTCGCCTAGCAGGGGTTATGGTGCCCGTGGTATTTAACACCTTTCCATTAATGTGAGAATGTGAGATGGGCAGTTATCATTGAAATAAACACGCTCACACACATACACGTATCACACTCTCACTTTCTCTCCTACATGGGTCATTTACATTGTGAGACTTAACCATTTTTAACAGCTCCGTTTTACGCCTCAAAATTAGGGTATTGAGCCAACATAAAATTCAACTGTTTTTTGCTGCACAGTTGAAAACCTTTTGTCATACAGGCTAGTGCCCTGGCTTATTACAAAACTCGGGGAACATTTAAACAGCATTTCTCATAAATACATTCACACTTTTCTGCTTTGATGTATCGATAATTCAGGACAATTCAGACCAGTTTTTACTACATAACTATTTGGAGTTAAAGTCCACGTCTGAGGACAATTTTCCTTTCTTTTCCTTCATGCTAACAGTAGCAGCTTAAATGAACCGAATTTGTCTTATTTTTTTCCCCCGTTGGACAAAACCACGAATATGGATGACATTTACTGTTATACATGATTTTAAATAAATAGTTAGGCTACTATTAAATATTTTAAACACACACGTACTATTATTATTGTTATTATTATTAATGCCGCTAATAAATTGATGCTAGCTACAACTAATGCTATTGCTCACCCCTCTGCCATTTCTCTTTAGCTCTTATTTAAAATTAGTTTCAGCTTGTTGTGTTTTTTATGGTTTTAGCTAGCAGCCTCATTCGTGACAGCCGACAAGCTCCTTTCGTTTTATTTTAATTTAATTGGAGGACATAGGCAGGCAATAGGACTCAAAATGTGTGTGTGTGTGTGTGTGTGTGTGTGTGTGTGTGTGTGTGTGCGCGCGCGCGCATGCATCCTGTTAATCCCATATTACTGAATTAAATGTTTTTGGTAATGATTAAATGTGGGCCACACACTGAGTGTTCACCTTAGGGTAATTATTAGTGTAACCTGCGTGTCGCGTGTGTGTTTGTGTGTAAAAGAGGCGTTATTCCCTAGAGTCTGCAACCTAATCAAGGAATTAACTGATTGCGCAGCAGTGTGATTTGACCTGCTATCAAGAAGATGCCTTGTTTCTTGGTCTTTATTTTTTTTTCTAAATATGGTATTGTGCTTCAGAGACTTCCTTTTGTTTTGGGATGAACCTCCGAAAAAAAATCACTTGGCTCCGGTGTGCAAAGGTAATAAAATTTTATGGGAGTCTGAGGTCCAACATAGACAAAAGATGTGCTTACACACCCTACTTTGATTTGATCTAATTATAGCTGTACACCACACAAAAGCAATTTGCAAGCGGTAGGAGTTGTAGCAATAGGTTGATATTCATTTTTTGAAGCGACAGTCACGGAGAGTCCACGCCCAGGTAAAGCGGTTCTTATAAACTACTCATTTTGATCCAGATTAACGGTATTGAATGTGCATTTCAGATACGGGAGTGTGCGTTAGCATCCAATGTATTGATGGAGGTTATTAAGCTGCATATGATCTCTGCACAAAATGACGGATTTGGCCACAGTTGCTCATACATTATTTTCTCTTGCTCCGGTAGATGATTTATCCGCGGAACAGACAACGGGAAGCTGGTTAAAAGCCAAAAGTGGGAGGAAGAAGCGGTGTCCCTACACAAAGCACCAGACGTTGGAGCTGGAGAAGGAGTTCTTGTTCAACATGTATCTGTCTCGGGAGCGCCGCCTGGAGATCAGCCGGAGTATCAACCTGACCGACAGACAGGTCAAGATCTGGTTCCAGAACAGACGCATGAAGCTCAAGAAGCTCAACAGGGAGAGCCGAGAAAGGGGGCCGAATGCAGTTTATAATTACTCCTGAGGAGAGTTTTACCTGCAAACACATTCACATTAACTTACACACACACATACACACACTCACATACATATACATAGACATGACCAGCAGATATAGATAGACATGCATGTGTCATCTTATAATGCATTCACTTATCATTTATCAAATTTCTCTTTATATGCACATACATACTCACGTACACGTACACACAGCGTGCCTTCCTATATGAAAACGCTCTGACCTGCAGACTAGCCTGCAGGTGAACACTTGCAGCAGCATTGGAACGCTGAGGGATTATATTACCTTGCAATGATAATTATGATATAACATGAACCAAAGGAGGAGGCAATCTCAACCAGTCTATAAATATCTCGTGGCTTGCAAGCAGTTTCACTTTGCTGTCCTCTAATGAATGCTTTGCCACTTGTGCAGCTTCTTCGTTGGTGTCTGTTGCTGTGGCATATTCGTGCAGTGAAATGTGCATGCACACGATGATATTAAGCTATGTCATGGCAAACGAGTCCAAAACAATAAAAAGGAGGGGAAAACGGAAAGATATTACCAACTTTGTCCTTCCCCTGGCATAGTGGTGCAAATGAGAGGGAGGGAGAGACACTGCGGATGAGAGAAGGAGATTATGGCAGTTTTAATAGAAGTGAGAGACCATAACGTTGATTTAAATATTATCCAGGTGACCACAGTAAGTCAAGGTCATAAAATTCTAATGTCAGGTTCGCCCTGGAAAGCGTTGGGGGTGGATTTTATGATCTGCAAATATAATGTGCTGCAGCAGTAAAGATGCGTTTAAAGGTGTGTGTGGAGGAGGGCTAATCCACACAGCAGAGACTGCAATGTGCAGGATCCAGCCGGGGCGCTGGGCTGGAAGGAGCAGCCGCCTCCACCCGGGATAATGGAGCGTCATGGGAGCATGAGATAAGAAAGATAGTGGATAAAAGGGACCGCGACGGCTGCAGGAACAATAATAACAACGGGCATCACACGTGGATAACTAAACGCACCGGGAAGGCGTCTGCAGGAAGCAAGTAAAGGTAGGACTACGTAACATTTTTTATTTCCTGTTTTGGAAAGTATGCCATCTGTCAGGGGAGGATGCTTGACAGCTCTCGTGGCAAGCATGGTGCACGCCTGCACACGTCGATAGTTTATATGAAGATGTTGAAATGAATGCTGGTGATTTCTGGTTTCTTTTTCACTGGAATCAGAATTGTCGGTTGCTGAATATTTTTGCATTATGCTTCCGGATACTGTGACTGAAAGTTTGCTTATTTGGAACAGCTGATTACATGTTTGTGCTGTGCTGCTACGATGCTCTTTACAGAATTGCAACAAAGTATATGAAGACTGAACCTGTTTTTTTATGAGTAAACAAGTCATAAATGCAAGTTGTCTACAGCAGTGTTAAGAAAGTAGCTTGACTGCAGCCCTAATAGAACATAGTGTGTTTTATTTTGTTGGTACTCGCCTTTTTTTTTCTTGGTGCTGGAGTTAATCCTCACTTGATTTTTGCATAGAATGTCCTTTCCATGGATTTTAACCCCCTTTGCGCGAAGCTGAAGCGTGGTTTAGGTAGTTTCATGTTGTTGGGGTTGGCTTCCTGGCTCGGCAACAAGAAACTGCCTTGATTACGTCAGTTCGTCTTCATCAAGGGCACAATTTCCGCTGAATTACCCCCTATAGTCGCCCAGGTCCCCGCAAATGGCATTGTAAATGAACTGAGCTGCAATACCTTGGACAGAGACGTTTTCTTTCTTTGCTGTTATTTTGTGGTGGGCTGTAAAACCTTCTGAGGCTCTCAGAGGGAGAATAGGTTGTAAACAACATGGGGTAAAGTTTTAGACTGCGTTGTACTGCATCTGTTAGCGGCTTTATGATGATCTGAATAGATAGACGGATATATGTCACATTTTGACGTATTCATTTATCTGACAAATGGTGCTAATGCACGGCTGCTTTAAAGGTTTTAGTCCAAAACGCCGTGCAATCCCAATTTCATATTTAGGCTACTACTGAGATTTAGCCTAACATTAAAATATCTGTGACAGTATATAAAGTAAATAATTCTTACTTTGAAAGTGAATGTTGTCCACAAACTTTACCGTACATGAGCACACTTAGAGGCTTGACAGCAATCATCCCATTAGAAGTAATATTTTGCTAATTGAGACCTTATTTTTTCAGTGAAATTCCTGCAGACATTATTCCTGTGCATTAAATAGTTTGACTCATTAGTTGTTTTTAATTGTTTTACTAAAGTTTGAACTTAAACTTCTTCTCAGCCCGTTAACGAGCTGTAGGTACTTGCATATCTACACAGCTTGATCTAGACTTGATCTAGATTTCCCTAATTTGATCAATTAAGATCCAAGTTTTTAAAACTCGATTTCACAGATAAGAATACTTTTAATTTTTATTTCGATTTATCCTACACTATCCTCACTCTTAAATTATATTCAAGCCCAATGGCACTGAATTATTTGAGTAATGCTGGCATATATGGGCTAATATATTTATGTCGGGAACTATTACAGCACGCCTTCAGTGGGCCACTCTCTAACCATCACATGTATGGCCAAACTTTTTTTAAGTCTCGCCTAATCCAGTAATCCATTTGAATGCTAACATTATTGATGAATAATGACCTAATGTTTTTAGCAAAGGGGAAATTAACTAAAGGTGATTATGGAAAGCGAAGTAAGGAACTCATCCTATAGAAACACAATAACGTATTTATAGAACAGTTCTTGTGGCGCAGTCAGCATCTTTCCTGCAAGGGGAGTCCAGTGTTTGTACTGGTCACTATTTCTCCTTGTTTTCTCAGACCCCCCCCCCCCCCCCCCCCGGCGGTAGTGCAACTGGAAGAGACAGTCTGGAATCCAAAGTCACTTTCATTCAGCTCAGTGAATGAGTGTCTCCCTTGGAATGCATCACTGACAAAGACTTTACAGCGCTGGAAACAGCCCCGAGAGCTGCACAGATTCACCCTAAAACCATATACACATAAAGCAATTTATTTTCACTTTGTAGTGGCACACAGGAACTGAAGGTTTTAGACAGCCACTTCCTTGGGACAGCTCAAGATGTGTTACTGCCACTGGCATGATCAGACATGAACCAAATATGCTAACGGGTTTTGCTTCTTTTTCTTTTTTGACATACATCATTTGATTTTTCTTGTGAGATATAGGCTAAGTAAAATTAGCACTTCATATTTGTAAAGCTTTTTTTTTTCTAAAGATGAAGTTAGTAGACATTTAATTGAGAAGGACGAAGGGCATAAACTTGCTTTTTTACAATGGAAGATTTCTTTTTATTTTGAACCGTGTTGGCGATATAAACTGTGGCTTTTTTTTTTTTTTTTTGAATTTCAATGTATAAGTGGGAATAAGTTCTATTCGCATTTCGTATTTTGGAACTGAAAATCAACTAAGGTTTATACAAGAGATCATGATCATTATTCTACAGACAAGAAAAATGTTCTCTAGGACCAGAATGCAACATGTGTATCACTGCGGCCTAGTCACCATGAGAATATCCCTCATAACTTGTTATGCTGACAAACAGTGAAATGAAAACTGCTTTTCAAACAGCTGGAAAGGAGAATTTATAATTAAGAGGCGTGTTTGTATTCTATGAAACTGTAATATGCAGCGGTGATCCTGGAGAACACTGTAATTCAGTGTAAGACGGATTCATTTTGTGGCCTTTCAGCTGTGTGGTCACACAGTAACTATTGGTTGTGCGGTGCTTTCTGTTCAGCACACGGCACGGCACATTATAAATAACTTGTGATATTCACTTTGATTGTTCCATATGCGCGGATAATATGATCCAAATGTTGCCTATAGATAAACCACTGATCTTATCTGCACTGTGTGTGTGCCTGTTTGATCTGGAGCTTAATGGGGAAATTTACTCTTGCTTATTTGTTGTGACAATTCCTTGTTCTATTCTAATTGCATGTAATATCGCCATTATGGACAGAATAGACAATGTGCCGTCACCCTGTCATCACACAGAAGCCAGCGAATGTGACCGTACGTGTCTCATAAGAGAAAGTCATGTTACAACGCGTAGCCTATCCTAAATCGTTCGTTTAGGCCTATTATTCATCCACCCAGCGATGACACAAACTGTTGGTGTTGACGGAAGTAAAGACAAAATACAGACTCCCTCGACAATGAAGATGAATCATCTTTACCTTAACATGCACAAGGGATTATCTGAGCTCTGTCCTATCTGCTTTATGTTTGTAAGGATACAAATAAATAGTCCATTTATGCCATTTATAGGCTACTTTTTGCTGGCCTGAAGATTTGGTCTTTTGTTTAACCTGCAGACAAATTCATGATCGTAATTAAAGCCGCCTTGTTCAATAGTTCTATTTTTCGTTTTACCCTACAAACTATATTTAGTCTAAACGTGTCCTGTTTCAGATTAAAGGAGTAGGTCCCTTAAAGAGCTGTTTGCCAATAATTTCAAATTTAACATGAAGCGTCAGCCCACTGCGACAACGCGAATATACACCCAAAATGTGGCTCACTGTAATGCTTTCGTCTGTCAGCGTCCACTTGAAATATATGGGCTCAAGGCTGTACATAAATGCCTTAAATCTAAAACAACACATGCGAACATTAGCCTATGGGTCTATGTTCTGAGTCACGTTGCACAAGTATATCTGTCTAACGCATATTTGTTTTTGTTTTTATGAATGGAAAACATAATCGTGTAATTGAGAAAAGAGCCTGGCTTATATAGAGATTGCTTAGATAATACCATTACTTACAGGCATTGTTGTAACACTGATTAAGTTGATATACGTAATTTTGAGATATAGGGTTGTCCCTATCCCTGAATTGTAGATGAAAACAGAAAATAGGCTCCGTTTAATCGTAGAGTAAAACATTCAGAGACAACTTGTGATTTTGGACTATATAATTAAAGTTAATAGTTGACTTGACTTTAGACGAACACAGAGCCCATCTAAAAACAAACCAACAGTTTCATGTCATCTGTCAACTAATTTTGCAGTTATCCATCTATGTCTGTGATTTCTAGTCTTTATTTTCATTTAACCTATTAGTGATTCTTGGATCATAGGCTATATGTTCAAACTGACAAAACACTACGTCTTTGTGTTGCTTATTATAGCAGGCTGTGTAACATGTTAAAGTAGAATTAATATGAAATACGAAAAAGTTTAGCGATCCAACAAAGAGGCATTTCTTCGGCGGTGTAATCTTAAACGGTCTGGTTGCAACGCAAGTTGTGTTGAGGAAGAACAGAGAAAAAACAGGCTACATACAATGAACATTTAATGGTGCAACCTGTTTTTATTATAGGACAACAAACATGGGATAGATAAATGGATACACTGCAAAAAAAAATATTTTATTATTTTTATTATTCTCATTAATCGACACAAACAGACACAAACAGACACACACTTGCACACACACACACACACACACACACACACACACACACACACACACACACACACACACACACATAAACCCACAAACACAGGCGCACACCCCAAACAGTACAGAGGATTATTCACTGGATTACTCTTGACATAGATACAAGCTATATAAAGTATTTATTTGGCCATATGTTGTGGTAATAAATGGTCACCGCGCGCGTTTCCATTCTGCTTTAATGGCAGCAGCGGAATAAACGGATGTAGACCTTCAACCTACAGAAAACACACAACTTTAAAA